GTTTTAACATCCAACTGCTCCAGCTCAAGATCAAAATGTGCTACAATTGACAATAACACACGGATAGAAGTATGTCGAACCACAGGTGAGAATATCTCAACAAAATCAACCCCTTCTACCTGACTGAACCCCTTAGCAACTAGCCTAGCCTTAAAACGTATTTGCTCAGTTTCCGACAACCCTTCTTTCTTCTTGTAAATCCATTTACAACCCACAAGCTTCCTCCCTTCCGGTACCTTTACCAGTTCCCACACTCTGTTCTTGTAAAGAGACTGCATCTCTTCACCCATTGCGGCAAGCCATTGCGCAGACTCACTACAACTAATTGCTTGTTTATATGTGGCAGGTTCAAATGACTCTACATCATCAGCTACACTCAATGCATAACCTGTCATCGCATCAACACAGCAATTTCTTCCCTCCATCTCTTCAATCAATCTAACAGGCTTCTTGATAACTCGTTTAGGCATCTCAAGAATGGTGTCAGGTTGACTAGATGACCCCTGATTAGATTGCTCCACCTCATCCCCAGAGTTAGAATGAGTAGGAGTAATCTCAGGTTCAGGAGTACCCGGCACTGGAACATCAGCATCATCATCAATATATTGTACCCGAGGTAAATCAGCAATGGTAGACTGATGTACCTCAAGTACCCCATCTGTCTGTAATAAATTGTCTCCTTCCCTTCTCAAATCTGAAATCTCTGCATTTTTAATTGAATACATGGTGTTTTCATCGAAAGTAACATCCCTACTAAGAATGACCCGACCCTCCGAAGGTGAAAAAATTCTAAACCCCTTCACACCATCCCCGTACCCAACAAAACACCCCTTCTTGGCTCGTGGATCCAGCTTACCCTCAATAACATGATAATAAGCAACACAACCAAAAATCTTCAAATTCGAAAAGTTAGGCAACTTACCACTCCAGATCTCAAACGGAATTTTGGAATCAATTCCAGAATGAGGACCCCTATTAATGACATAACAAGCTGTTAACACAGCTTCACTCCAGTACCTCCTCCCAAGCCCTGCATTAGAGAGCATGCATCGAACTCTCTCTAGCAGTGTCTGATTAACCCGTTCTGCTACACCGTTCTGCTGTGGTGTCTTCCTGACAGTATGATGCCGACCTATACCCTCATCTGCACAGAACTGATTAAACTCGTCTTTGCAAAACTCTAGCCCATTGTCCGTTCGTAGCTTCTTGATCTTCCTTCCTTGTCGATTTTCCACCAAAGCTTTCCATTGCTTGAAAACTTTGAAGGCCTCATCCTTTGACTTAAGCAACCTAAGCCATGTGTATCGGGACTTGTCATCAACAAATGACACAAAATAGTGGTAACCTCCCATACCTTCAACTCTAGATGGACCCCAGCAATCTGAATGGATGTAATCGAGCACTGCATCAGTAATGTGAGCACCCTTGCTGAACTTTGACCTGTGTTTCTTACCAAACACACAATGCTCACAAAATTCAAGGTTGGCAACCTTGACCCCGGATAGAAGACCCCTCTTGGACAATAGCTGCATCCCCTTCTCCCCCATATGACCAAGCCTCATGTGCCAAATCTTAGTCATCTCCTGGTGAGATACAGATGCGCAAACCGCAGAACTAGGCAGTGTAACACCCTCAAAAACATAGAGGGTGTTCCTTTTGATACCCTTAAGTACCAACTCAGAACCTCTGAAAATACACAACTCCCCATCTGAAAACACACCATTGTACCCCAAGTCATCCAGGGTACCCAATGAAATCAGATTCTTTCCTAAAGCAGGAACATGCCGTACATTAGTCAAAGTTAACCTCCGCCCATCAACAGTCCTCAACCTCATGGAACCAATACCTGTGACCTTACATGGAGCATTGTTACCGACTATAACCATACCCCCATTGCGAGGTTCATATGTATCAAACCAATCTCGACGTGGACACATATGGAACGAACACCCCGAATCTAGAACCCAGTTATCAGATAAATCATCAGACCTAGCAGAACTGACTAATGCTAAATCTTCCTCTGAATTATAGCTCTCATTCGGTTTCTCTTCAACTACAGCAGCCTGGGACTTGTTTTTCCTCACCGGACAATTATTCCTAAAGTGACCCGGTTCTTTACAGTAATAACATGTTTTAGTAGTAGTTTTACTAGATCCATCCTTGCCGTTTCCAGCACCCGACCCAGCATTGTTCCCCTTGTTAAACCCCTTATTCTTTTTAGACTTTCCGGACTTAACAAACAACCCACTACCATTATCCCCATTATCACTCGTAGCTTTCATTCTGAGTTCCCTAGTATGAAGTGCTGCCTTCACTTCTTCTAAGGTTATAGAATCCTTACCAACAACAAAAGACTCTACAAAATTCTCAAAGCTAGACGGTAGAGATACAAGTAAAATCAACGCAGCATCCTCATCATCAATTTTAACATCTAAATTACGTAAATCAAGCAAAATAGAGTTAAGTTTTTCTAGATGTTCCCGTAAGGAAGTACCTGACTGCATCCGGAGGCTAAACAACCGCTGTTTCAGTAATAATTTGTTGGTCAACGACTTAGTCATATACAATGACTCCAGCTTCAGCCACAATCCAGCCGCCGTTTCCTGATCAGCCACCTCCGTGATGATTTGATCATCAAGACTAAGTAATATGGTAGAGTGTGCCTTCTCTTCCATAACTTCTAACTGCGGGTCAGTCGGTCCATCTTCTGACTCCGAAGTAGTACTCTTTGGAGCCAACGGACGCCATATCTGCTGTTGTTTTAACAGAGCCTTCATCTTAATTTGCCATAGCCCGAAACTATTTTTCCCGGTAAACTTCTCAATTCTTATTGTTGAATCTCCTGCCATTGTTATCTTCAAGAAACTCTCCAAGGATTGAACCTGAGCTCTTGATACCAATTGTTGTGCGACAGCGGAAGCAAAGGTCGAAAACAAACAAGAAAACAATAAAGAAATTCAATGCAAACAATAAGAACAACACCAAGAATTTACGTGGTTCACTATCGATGTGATAGCTACGTCCACGGGCACCGAGATCGAATGATTTCACTATAAACTGCAAAGATTACAAAGATGATTCTTGTATTTCTCAAGAACGGCTCTCACTCTCTCTCTCTTAACCCTTATACTAATATTAGGGAGGTTTTATATTAATCCCTAAAATAAAAGATACTTGGGCAAAAAGATAACATAAAAGATAACTTTAAATCGTAAAATCCGCGTCTCCGCATTTTTCCTTCTCCGCCCGGTCAGACCGGGCAAGGTCTGCCCGATCGGGCGCGAGAAGAAAACTCCATACGAATGCTTCAACGTATCCAACCCCCACCGCCCGGTCAGACCGGGCAATGTCCGCCCGATCGGGCGAACAAAGCTACGAAGTACGAGTCACCTAATACTTATCAACAATTAGCACATATGTCAATTCACTGGTTTGACCTCATAGGATTTTATAATTGAACATTTGTAAAAAAAAATTTAAAAATAAATTGATATTATAAACTATATATTAATACCTATTTATTAACTTATATCATGATAAAATATGTTATTACTCCGTCACTAAAAAATTATGGTCAAAAAAATCAAAGATGTCAATTATTATTGTGGGAAAAAAGAGTACACTATGTATATATCTAATCCAAGCTAACAAACTTAAAACAAAGTTTTAGTAATTTTTTTTTTTTATTTATTTTTTATTATTTTTTTTTTTAATTTTTTTTTTTTTTTATCTAAACGACCGTGAGAGTATGTTGCTTGAGTTTTCATCCACAATTAGATCGAAAAAAAAATATATATATTATCATTACAATATGTTGAAGTGTAATATTCCCAAACAAAACATTTAAGTATACTACATGTATTGATAAATGAAGAGAGAATTAAATACTTTATAAGGGGATACTACTCCTCATATTTCTTTTTTTTGAACAAAATACAACTACTCATATTGTATGTCATTCGGAGTATAGTTTTTGGTTGGAATCTCCTTGAACTTGAGAAGTAACGACTAGCTTATCCATGTGAGGGGGAGTTTGAAAATGCTTGTAGCACAACCTTCCCAAAATATTATCCCACATAAACAAAAGAAGAGAAAGTTTAACATTTTACTTCGTAAAAGACAAAGAGGCTACTTCGCCTATTTGTATGTGATAATAAAAATTGCAATTATATCAAATTTCTAGTGTTTCATACACAAAACAATTTTTAAATAGTGCGTTTTGTGAGCGGCTGGTCATACCATGTGATCGCTTGTAAAAGAATAAAGTAATCCCTATAACACTAATCGAGTAAGCCCTATCACACTGGTAAAATAACCCCTATAACACTGACCGAGTAACTTTTATAACGCGAATAATGTAACCTCCATAATGGTTGGCCACACAGTGTGGCCAGCCACATATAAAAGTTGGTGATTTTTAAAAGGGACGGAGGAAGCGAGGGAGTAGCATATAGAAAATTTTCTATATATAAAGAACTCTTTCACATAAAGATGAACCATAAGCCCATTTAAACTCTCCCACCAAACCTTGCAAAGAACTATAATTTCTAAGCAAACAATGACATACTTGGTTATCATTACTTTTCTCATTTCCGTAATTATTTTTTGCTACTTTTTCCGCAACAAAAATGGTCTCCCAACTAATTGGCCTCTTGTTTGGATGCTTCCTGCACTCTTCCAAAATTTTCACAGAATCAATGAATTTTTCAATGAAATTATGGAGAAATCATCTGAGCTAACGTTTCTATTTAAGGGCCCTTGGTTCAGCAACATGAACATTTTAATTACCATTGATCCTTCCAACTTTCACCATGTGCTTAGCAAGAGCGAGCTTCGTAAATTATGTCAAAGGCCCTAAATTTAACGAAATTTTCGAATTTCTTGGAGATGGGATCTTTAACTCGGATTTTAGTTTGTGGCAGTACCATCGAAGATTGGCTCATTCTTTCTTCGGCCATCCCAAATTCAATTCAATTTTTATGATGAAAATTTGGGAAGAGATGAAGAGTAGACTCATCCCATTGCTCGATAATGTCTCTAAGCATGGTGTTGAAATCAACTTGCATAATATATTTAAAAGGTTTTCTTATGATAATGTATGTAACATTATCTTGGACTATGACCCTAAATTTCTCTCACTCGATTTGGCACCTATTCCACTCTTCCAAGCCGTGATTGATGTAGAAGAGGTGATTTTTCGGCGTCATGCTATGCCAACATCTATGTGGAAATTTCTAAGATGGTTGGGTGTAGGAGAAGAGAAATACCAAAAAGATTGCCAGATGCTTTACGATTTCACTAACAAGGTCATAGCTATGAAGAGAGAAGAAAGGAAACTCGGTAACCCTAAAGAAGAAAGTGAGGTAATATTCCACGACTTATTGACAATTTATTTGAATGATGTAGAAAATCCCACTACTCCAATAAATAGCAGTAATTGTGATAATTTTTTAAAAGACGCGATTTTGAATTTGTTAATTGCTGGAGGAGATACAATTGGTGTTACTTTATCTTGGTTATTTTACCTTCTCACTAAGAACCCCCTTGTTACTAATAAGATTAGAGAGGAATTGAATGTTGTAATGGTAAAAAGAGATGATGAAAATAATAATGACGATTTTTTAAGGAAGTTTACTAAGCACAAAAATGAGCTAGTATATCTTCATGGTGCAATATGTGAAACATTAAGATTATATCCTTTTGTGCCATTCAACCACAAGAATTCAGTTGAATCGGACATACTTCCCAGTGGTCATCGAATGAAGCCGGATATGCAAATCCTCTTCAACATGTATGCCCAGGGAAGGATGAAATCAATTTGGGGAGATGATTGTAACGAGTTTAAGCCCGAGAGATGGATAACGGAACGAGGAAACATTAAGTTCGAGCCTTCGTACAAGTTTTCGGCATTCGGGGCAGGGCCCAGGATTTGTCAAGGAAAGGACATGGCTTTAACCCAAATAAAGATTGTAGCAGCTGCCATAATCCGAAGGTATGATATAGAAGTTGTCCAAGGACATCAAGTTGTTCCTGATGTCTCCCTTAAACTTCAAATGAAGCATGGTTTTAAGGCTAAAATTGTTCGATGTGAATGTTGAAGATGGACTTCATCACACTGTCGCGTCGCATACAATGAATTTGATGTATTGTTGTTTCGTATTGTGAATTTGCATTGTTTCAATAATTAAAATGAGTAAGATTTTTATTTTTGTTTTGTAATAAATATGTTAATCTGCTAAAGAAATAAAATAAATTTTTAACTGTAGCTTATAATTTTTATCCAAATTAAAACTTATTTATAATGTACATCATATTAACATCATTATGAGAATGAACTTTCTTAGTGTCATAGGTAACTCCCAACACTACAATATACAGTATGAGCTTGTTCGGCAATTGGCTTGTTCTGTGGCTTTTGGCTTTAGATGTGGTCGAACAGCCAATATATATGTTTGGTTATTTGGCTTTTTATTGACTAAAAAGCTAGCCATTCCACCAAAAGCTAGCTTTTTTTGTGTTGGTTGTTGGCATTTATACTTGCACCTACATATTTACACTAACAATCAACTTTACCATACATATTTATTTAAGAGTAGTCGACAATCAACCAACAATCATAAAAAGCCAACACAAATAGTTGGTCAGACCGGTTAAGGGAAACAACCAGCAACCAACAACCAATAGTCAATTGCCTAACAAGCCATATCAACTATTGGTTCAGCAAACTTAATTTCAGTTCAGTAATGATAATTTGAGTTCAATAAAAATAAGGTGAAATAAACAGGACCTTATCTTGATGCAAAATGCAAAAAAGTATGATAGAGTAAGAGCATTAAATGGCAACCTAATCATTTAAATATACATAAAATCATTAAAATATATATTAATGATTATAAAGAATAATGTCAAAGATATTCACATAATAGTCAAAATATTAAGAGATAGGGTTTAGGGTGCCTAATGGCGTAATGCGTGATTCCTACAGGTGCGCGCATCGTACAAACGTTTCATTTAAAAAAATAAAAATAAATAAAAATAGGGAACAAACATATTATAGAAATATAATGATTATATAGCTATAGTGAAAAGAACATACTATTAAAATGTAATGAACATATACCTAGAGTGAAAAGAACATATTTGCACCAAAAAAGAGTGAAAAAAACATATGTCCATGTTCTTTGATTGTCAATGTAATGGACTTTTATTTGCGACATAATTTTCATTGCTTATTGTGAAATATTCTTTATTTGAATTTTGTCTTTAGATTATGGTGGGTATATATAAATAATGTTCATTACATAATATTATCATGTTCTTTATTAATATCACAGATGTTCTTTAGATATACAAAAAGAACATAAAGCTGAATGTTCTTTACAAAACTACTATATGTTCTTTCCGCTTTTTTTTTTCTGTACCAAGCTTAGTACAGACGTCTGTACCATAAAAATTTCACTGGTGGCGGGCCTTCCTCTAAAGTTGCCGATTTCTTGATGATAAACTAGATAGCAAACGTTTACATATATATAAATAAAAGAGTATAGCAGTTAAATCTAAAAGGAGAATTTTTTTTTCAAGGCAAGCTAACTCAAGTGCAAGTATCAAAATGTAATATTTTTGCTCATTTTAAAATGAGCAAAATTATATTAAATGAGGAAAATGTGGCTTCCCTTGTCTTATAAAAGGAAATTGTTTTCCACCATTGAAAAAGTTGTTTTCCATCCCTTCACGAAACAAAAAAAAAATGGATAAAAAAATTATTTTTCATAAAAACACTTTACATCAAACCAAACGAGCCTAATATTGAAAAAAAAATGAAAATTGTTTTTATTTCACAACTAAAGTAAAGCACATACTTACTATATTTATTGAAAAAATGCAAAATTATTAATTGGAGTTTCACTTTAGCATCTGCTTATACACAAGAATGACTACCATTAATGGTTTCTTACCCTGGCCTACATCCATATAATCATATATCTACAACTACTACTCCATAAACCTTTTTACATCCTCCATTTTGCAAAATTTGGACGAACATGTTTGATTATAGTACGTCTTGATAGAAGACTTTCTTAATTCTTTTTTTACCCTTCTTCTTACAAAAATGGTAGTATTATGTTGTGACCTTAGAAGGCCGTCAGTGAGCCTACTAGGAAGTTTGTGTCATAGCTTAAACTGCTTCACTAAAAATAAGCCTAAATAATTTATCGTCTATTTAAAAAATAATTTAGGATTATCAGGTGAATTAATTAACACATCTGAATACGTGTTAGTAGGTGAGAGTTTATTAGCTACATACATTTATTTGCGTCTCATTACTCACAATAATATTGACAATACACTTGATTAAGACGTGATACTATCATTTCTAATCTTACCTTAACATTTTGTCCTTTAATATTACAAAAATCTCCTCCATAAAAGCACGCAAACTCCCAAACAAGCAAAACCTAAACACATACTCGTACTTCCTAATGGGGTATTACATGTTTATCAATACACTGATCCTCCTTTTCCTTGCTTTATTTTGCCAAAAAAATGGGCATCCAACTAAATGGCCCCTTGTTGGGATGCTTCCGGCAACATGAACTTCATCACTAACGTTGATCCTTCCAACGTTCACCATGTGTTTAGCAAGAGCTTCGGAAATCATGTCAAAGGCCCTAAATTTAACGAAATTGTGGAATTTCTTGGAGATGGGATCTTTAACACGGATTCTAGCTACTACCTCCGTTTCATATTTTTTGCAATTTTCGGGTATTATTTGTGACATATAAAATATTCCAAAGTTGCAAAAAATATGAAACGGAGGTAGTAGTTTGTGGCAATACCATTGAAGATTGGCTCATTCTTTCTTCGGCCATCTACCCCAAATTCAATTCAATTTTTATGGCGATAATTTGGGAAGAGACGGATAGGAGACTCATCCCATTGCTCGATAATGTCTCTAAGCGTGGTGTTGAAATCGACGTGCAAGATATTTTCAAAAGGTTTACTTATGATAATGTATGTAACATTGTCATGGACTATGACCCCAAATTTCTAGCACTCGAATTGCCACCTATTCCAGTCTCCCAAGCCGTGATTGATATAGAAGAGGTGATTTTACTGTGTCATGTGAAGCCAATATTTATGTGGAAATTTATTAGATGGTTGGGTGTTGGAGAAGAGAAATACCAAAAAAAAATTGCCAGATTCTTTACGATTTCATTAACAAGATCATAGATATGAAGAGAGAAGAAAGAAACTCGGTAAGCCAAAAGAAGAAAGTGATGAGGTAATATTCAACAACTTATTGACAATTTATTTGAATGACGAAGAAAATTCCATTACTCCAATAAAAGGTAGTATAATGGTGATAAGTTTTTAAGGGACACGTTTTTGATTCATGGCAGGAGGAGATACAACTAGTGTTGCTTTTTCTTAGTTATTTTTTTTTCTTAGCAAGAACCCCAATGTTACTAAAAAGATTAGGTAGGAATTAAATGCTATACTCGTAGAAAGAGACTTATAAAGGCAGTTTTGTAAAGGAGTTTACTAACCACAAAAATGAACTAGTATATCTTCATGGTGCAATTCTGCACCATTCAACCGCAAGAATTCAGTTTGAAAGGATTAACGAATGTGCAAGCTAGTTTGTGATTAACGGCAATTAACAATAACGAAGACGGAAAAACAAGTAATAAACGAGACAAGGAGAATTTACCGCGGGAACCTCGAGAACCGGGAGAAAAACCCACCGATCCACTATGGAGTAATAATTTGATGAAGAGCAATGTAGTTCACAAGCTTTCAATCACCATGAAAGCTCCCACCCTAAACTCACTCTCTTAAACACTCAAACCCTAAGTGTTTTGGGTTTTACATGAGGCTTTTCTCTCTACATCTTTCCCATCATTCTATTCTCTCTACAATGACAAAACATGAGTATACATAGTGCAAGATTACAAGGAAGGTCAACGGCTAAGATTACATCCCGAGCGAAATAATATAAAAGAAATCGCATCCTGGAAAAGGGGCAGCCGGTTCGATCGAACCTACCCTGAGTTTGGTCGAACTAGGGGTGGTTCGGTTGAACCTCCAAGAGTTTCGGTCGAACTCGCGAGTCAGTAGCCCCAACTCTATTTTCTTTAAAGGTTCGACCGAACTTTTCATCGGTTCAGTCGAATGCCCGCACGGAGCGGAAAGCTCTTCGTAAAATGACCATAACTCCCTCAATTCTTGACCAAATCAAGCTTATAACCAGTCGTTGAAAAGCTCTTGAGACGAGCTATCACCTCCAACTTGAATCATCTCAATATCATTTCTAGATCTTGAGATATGGTCATTTGAAGTAGAATTCTGCTTTTCATTGTTGTTTTGCACCAAGCAATCAATCCATAGCTTAACTCCAAAGCTATGCACCTCCTTAGCCTTCTTGAATAGTTCTCCACACTTCTCAAACCCAACACGGTTGAATCGGACATCCTTCCCAGTGGTCATCGAATGGAACCAGATATGCAAATCATCTTCGACGCGTATGCCAAAGGAAGGATGAAATCAATTTGGGGAGATGATTGTAACGAGTTTAACCCTGAGAGATGGATAACGGACAAGGAGCCATTAAGATCGAGCTTTCGTACAAGTTTTTGGTTTTCGGGCAGGGCCAAGGATTTGCCAACGAGAGGACATGGCTTTAACCCAATTAAAGTTTGTAGTAGCTGCCATAATCCGAAGGTATGATATAGAAGTTGTCCAAGGACATCAAGTTGTTCCTGATATCTCCGTTACCCTTCAAATGAAGCATGGTTGTCAGGCTAGATTGCACGTTGTCAAAGTTAAATTTTGTTTATCACTAGTACTACCTTCATAAAAATATTCCTTATAAAAAAAAAGGCAAGGTGCGTTTTAACTTACGTGGCAAAATTCTTAAATCTCATTCGTCACTTTTCTTAGGTGGCAAGGGAATTTTTTAATTCTAAAATAAAATACAAATCTAATTTTTTAATTGGTCAAAATAATACCTTTTGCTTATGTGGCGCACCAAATGCTCTCAAAAAATGTCTACTTTATTTATATATACTAGTTTTGTATCCGGGCAATGCTCGGATTG